TTAAAATAGTCCAAGGAACAACCCCCTGAATTTTTGCCGCATGTTTAGGAAACACCCTGTATAAAATCGATCTGAAATTTTGGGCAAAATCAGGTTTAATATAAAAAAGATTCTGATGCGCTGAATGACTCAAAACAGATGTTAATTTTTTTAATTTAAACATATTTTATTATGTAAATTCATTAAAATCTACGGCACTGCAGCTCCTTAGGTAAGTCTTAAACGCGTGCTGGGCGAGGAACGTGCCAAAACCCTTTTCTATATAAACTGTCTCCTACAGATGACTCTAATGGCACTTTAATACGGACGAAGTCCAGGTGGAGGCCCAGATATATCATTTGGCGGAAAAAAAATTAATATGACGTTTTGTACGGGCTTATGCTCGTAATTAGTTGCCCATCTTAGTGCATCCTATCCGATGGCACGGTATAATTTTTCAGCTGATACCTTTTCGAAGAAATTTGGCCGCCCGTTAAAAAAATTCGCCGCTATTGTTTTCGTACCAACTGTCGGGCAATTAATTCGGCGCTAGTGAATTATTATATAGGGGGTCTTCTCGGAATGGGTGTCCCAAAAGTTTCCTTTTAACAATATTTGCGAACTAAAATTAACTAATCTAGACTGGTAATTAAATAGAATAATTGTACACATCAATGAATAATATGATCAATTTTAGTTTAGGGTTTTCACACAGTGCAATATATTTATATGTATATTGCAGCAATAATTTGTTGCAATATTGTATTGCACTAAAATACAAGTGTTCATATCAAATGCGCAGTTTTCAGTTGTATGCGATACAATAATTCAATATTTAATATTGCAAAGTCGTGCAATATATTCTATAGTATCGTATGATAAAATATTGCAAGGACAGTAGACACCTATGTAAGTTTATGGAGATTTTCATACGATTCGGCAATTATTGCTCTAATTTGGTCAATCATCTCATAATCTTTGTGCAATTATGAAATAATTTATGACGTTTATAATTTTTCAAATACTTTATTTGTATAGCGAAGAGAAGCAGAATGCAAACCAATCATTTGTATATTTTTGAGAAACATAAACTATGCTTTATATTTTACAGATATTAGAAATTCGGTCGTTTGGATATCTAAATATTCCAATAGAAAATGTTTTAATACAAAACCCATCCACTTGGAAATATATGGCTTTATTTGTCAGTCCGGTCCCGCCTTACTGAAAACGTTTCGTATTTTAAGGGAAATACGATTTCATAAAAATATAAAAAAAGCTGTTTGGTATTGCCTTCTGACCATATACATCAATAAAAAGATTTCCTCATATTATTTTATGGGCATCTCTTCGACTATATACGCCTTTATGTTTCAAGAACTTTTCATTTTATTCTTGTACTATATATATTTCGTATTTTTTATTGCAACTAAATTCGTATTAAGTTGTTTGTAGCTTCGTATTGAGTTACTATGAAACTTATGGACCACAGCGCCGTACTCCTTTTTTATTACAAATTATTTACATGCATATATTTAATTTTCAATAATTTAATTAACAACAATTTTTGATTGAGACTATGATTATATCTTCTAGACTTTATATAAATTCGAGCTCGTTGAGTAAAAGAAAACAACTCTAAAAATCACCAATCCTTCGGTTCATTAGGGAGGTTCATTTAGAAGTTCATTGCAAATATGCAATATAATTTAGTTTAAAAATGGCTTATTTTTAGTTAACAACGATTTTCGTTCATTCTGCATTAATTTAAGTGCATTTTGCTTCTCCACCCCGCCACTGCACTTACATTATTATCGAGACTTTTTATCGTTTTTTTCAGTTGGGATAAATTCTTTTACGAGCAAATGTTTTCTTCCAGCAGATTAATTGTGAAAAGATATTTCATTAGCCGACTTGACAGTGAGTCAGGTAAGATTTTTAAAAAGGAGGTATACGTCCGTACGCGGAGGGTACCCACGTGTGCAGGGGTGGGTTCGCTCTAATTCGGGTACTAATTTCTTAATTATTTTATTTCAAAAGAAAAATGGTTAGGAAGAATTGGGAAAAAATATTAAATAATTGCAGTTTGTTGCGAATTTTGTTGAGCACAAGTACCCACAAAATGGAGGATAAATTGGAGGTTAGCATTATTGTTAAAAATATTTAAAATAATCCATCCCTGTTAAGCTGTAAAGAAAAGTTACGATATAATAATAAGTCGATACGATGGGTATAAAGGTTTTAAACCTATACAGTTTACCTGATGCATTCGACATTTTCACAAATTCACCCCTTGATAATGAGGGATTTAACTTAGGAGTACGGATACAGATTAAAAAAAGAAATTCAATTCATCTATTAAAAAAATGCATGACCAGATATCCAACCAATGCGCTTTAAAACTAATCATTTTTTACTATTCTTAAAAGATACAAAAACCACATCTCATTTGCTTCGCAAGCTCGAACCCAAAGCAGTCGATAACTTAAAGTCTCTTTATGCTTCGCGAGCTCGACATTCTGCTCTCTTTTTTCAACATTTTTACACCACATTTACTCTTATAAAAAATGGTCAATATATTTTTAAGGAAGATGCAGGCGCGCCACTGATCGTAAAGTAACGGAGGTGCAGGCAAGCTGTCATTGCACACCATTTACCTGCGCATTTCCCGATCGAGCGTCATCCCTTTTTATAACTTATAACGTTTCATACCCCAATTTCGGCTTGCGCTCGCAACGATTCGGAATTCGAAAAGGGAGCCCCCAACGGTACAGGTATAAATCGTAAGCGCGTCCGAGGGCCGAGGGTGGATATGTAGGTGTGTAAAATTCATCGAAAGGGTGAGAGGGGGACGTTAAATGCAATAGACATAGACGAATAACGACGGTGCGAGACGTTTCGAAGAGGGTAGGTTGCGGTGGAAGGTCGTAAAGGTACGAAGGGATATTAAGTTTACATTCTCCACGTCTCTGCCAGCATTAGATTTTAAATTCAGATAATCGATTATAGGCGAGTTGATGCAAAAATCGTGCAACGCTTTTTTGACGTATACGTCAAATGCCATTATTGACAATTTTTGCTGATGAATTGACACTTAACATATTTAGAGCGTTTTCACACGGTGCAATATATTGCAGCAATGAATTGTTGCTATACTGATGCATTGCTGTTAAAATACAAGCGTTTATGCATGGTTTTCACAAGTATGCAATGCAATAATTCTTAATGCAACAATATTTAATATTGCAAAGTCGTGCAATATGTTCTACAGATATCGTACGATAAAATATTGTAATGATAGTAAAAACCTATGTAAGTTTATGCAGGTTTTCACAGTGTTGCCGTACGTGAGAATAGGTGGGTGATTCTTTTGAAATCCGTTAAACTATTTACCAAGGAAGGATTTTTCATTACGTTTGACTATCAATTAACTTTAAATTTTCACCAGCGAATATTTATAGCATATAATGTAGTAGTGTGAAAATTGTTAACAATTTATCGCATGCAATAATTTTTTTTCGCTTGCAATATATTGCACCGTGTGAGAACGCTCTAAGTGGACTAATAAAGCACCTTGTATATTGCATCATTTATTAACTAGAAACGAGCAAAAACAATATTAATTGTATTTTCAAAGAGCGACATTTAAATAAACATAAATGAATTTATAAATTTCGTCGACCCAAATAGCAGTAAATTACTATGATTTATTTATTTTTAACTTGTATATGGGTTGTACGAATTTTAACAACACCAATATTTTGTTGTTTACGTAAATTTATTCACGGACAACAGGTGTAAATGGTTCAATTTTATTCAAGTGGGTAAATCGATTCCTTACAGTTTTTAGCGACACATTAGATACTTAAAAAATCGTACAATATTAAATTTATCGTAGATAAAAAACTCCAATTGAGGACGTGTAACTTATCAAATTTCACTTATAATATTATTTAATGTGGTAATTCAAGGCCTTCAGATACAATGCCGGAAATGTAAGACCTATTTATCGTAATTGTTTATCATTCTTTTTAGTGTAGTACACAATTAATAAAATTAAATTAAAGTGGTATTCAATAGCATTATTCGCATAGTGATAACACAATAGTACAATATTTCAATTAATTGTTCAATAGAGTTAATATCTATTAAATAATATACATCAATAAGAATATACACACAGAAAAAAATAACACCCCGCGTTAATCGAAAGGGTTCCCGCAAAACATATTAAAAATGTGTTTCGGTCTTCAAAGCTTTTAGGAGACTGAAATTAATCATAATTAGGTAGTCGTCCCAAAAAAATTGGAAAAAAACTTGTTATTGCATTTGTTAACATGTACCTAATAAGAAAAGTCATAGGCAGCACAAGTAATAATTAGGTAGATAGATAAAATAATTGTGTGGTGGGATAATAATTAATATAAAAACTTTACAAAACTTGTTATCCTCACGAATGTACTAACTGAAGAATTCCATTAATATTTCTAATGTTTTTTTGAATTAAAGATGTTATTGTCAACATCCTTAATAATAGGTTAAGTATCCAAAACTATTACCCCCCTTGTTCGACGCCAATGTAAACAAACGGGAAAATTTTGAGCCTAATAATAAACGTATCATTTACAATGTAAGTGTTGGTCTATTTTCGACCGCCAGTAGGTATAAATTATTAATGATTGAGAAAGATTTTTATATTAGTACATCGCATCTCCCGGTTAAAAATAATGTCACCTATTTTTAAGAGATAAATAACGTTTCCGTTCCGAACGCTTTTAATTAGAGATTTTCTAAATGTGCGCCCGTGTATTCGTTAATTTCAGTTGAGCATTTTGAATGTGAAATTTTACAGGCATTTTGAAAATTTCCAAGTTTTCTGATTGTGTATTTTTTGTGGTATAGATTTTTCTTGTTAATATTGTGTTTGAGCGTTTTCACAAGGTGAAACTACGCATTTGAATGCTTGTATTTTAATTGCAATGCAATATTGCAGCAATTTATTGCACCGTGTGAAAACGCTCTTACGCTGTACAATGTGATCAGTAGAAACTGCAGTAAATTTCCGTATAGTAAGTGTACCATCCATTATTATCTATATTTTCTCTATAATAGAGCCCGAGAAACGCTTGGAATGCAACGGGGCGCCGGCATTCGTATTATGTCAGAAGAACATATCCATAATCTCGTTGATGCAAACAAAGCGAAAGCAAGGAGGAAAGGAGAGTTACACATAAAGTAACATTTCTCATATCTAGAAATGTATTATTTGGCTTTTCATATGTAAAAGACGAGTCAACATGTCAGGCTTTAGTTGATGGATGGTGTATGTGCCGCGATGTTCGGTATTCGGTGAGCATTTTTTTTCCTGCCTTCTAAACCTTTCGCTATTTGTTTGTGTAATCCTGCAAAAGCGAATGTACGATATTTTAAAATGATACCGAATAGGTAGATATATTGATTTAGCTTGCTCCGAACAATTTTTAAAAGCTCCAAAAAATATGTAATAATGCGCCAATAGATCTTTTCTAATTCTACTTTACTCTGAATTTACTCTTCTCTGAACCTATTCTACTTTGAATCGTATCTACTCCGAAACTTCTCTGATTCTACACCTGAATTTACTCTACTCCGAATACACTCTGAATCTAGTCTGAATCTACTCCTGAATCTACCTATGAATCTTCTTCGAATCTAATCATACTCCTTAATCTGCTCCTGAATCCATTCTACTCCGAATATACTTTGAAGCTACTGTGAATCTACTTTAAAACAACTCTGAATCTACTCCTGAATCTACAATCTACTCTACTCTGGTCCGATTGGCTATAGAAAAGCGCATTAAATTAATTATTGGGATAGTTTTAAACATAACTGTTTCACCACACATTAATCCCGATTGGAATCGCTTTAAAAACAAATTAAATTGAACGCAGCAGAAAATTATACTGCAAAGCTGTTCGATAGTATACATACATACATAAATAAATGTTAAATAATTATTGGTGAACGTCATCTTCCGCTTCCAAGTGCGTAATTTATTAATAACCGAAACCGAATGTGATAAATATTGTAATAAACACTAATAAACTTACTGTCCAATAAGCAAAATATGTGAATTGTATGTACATACATACAATACTAAACCACGGGTAATATCTAATTATATTATGTGTGCGATTAATCAATTCAACTGCGGTGTTGCTAAAACAACAGCATGTTGATGAATTTTACTTGTCATCTACAGGGTGTTCTTTAATTATTGCTCTGGCATCTTGAATCTTTAACTATGCTCCCGAAACATTTATAACTTTCTAGAACTATTTAGAAAGCTCCAGAAATATTTAGAACTGTCAAGAATTATTTAGAACTGTCAAGAATTATTTAGAACGCTTCAGAACTGTTTAGAACTCTGCAGAATCATTTAGACCTGTCTAGAACCATTTAGAACGCTCCAGAACCATTTAGAACGCTCCAGTACCATTTACAAGTGCCTACATATCTTTATAGGTCATACCTTTCCATAGGAATGAAAGAACCGGATATTTACACGTAAATTTATTATACAAGGTTAGAGAAATATATTTTTGGAAACTGTCCATTTAATCAACGATATCTAGATGGACGAACGAATCCTTTTCTTACGTTCAATAAATTTTATTAAGCGAATGGTCGTATCATAAACATATTTAATGTAGTTTTTATACTCTATTTTTATTGTTATTGTTTAATGGGCGACGCCATTGATTAATAAATATTACTTGAATCAATATTGTCACAATATTAATAAACAAATAGGAAATAAGGCGATAAGGCACTGAATGCTCGGATAATCATATTATTACTCTCATTGATTTACCTATATCTAAAGGTGGAGAGTATTAGAGATACATTCTGGAGGTGGTTTCTTCTTTTTAATGTTTGAGGGTTTGTGAATGGTGGGTTGTTTTACTAGTTTCTTTTTCATTTAATACCCACCTAAATAATTATCTGTTATTAAGATGAGAACAAAATCTGAGTTTTCAAACAGGTTTCTGGGAAATGCCATAAAGAAAATGAATGTTTTTTGGACACCCTGTATCACAAAAATGGCGCGTTTGGTGGCCTATTTAAAAAAGCATGTGTTTTTCCAATAATGAACTAATTTCATTTTCTGCGACACGTTTTTGAAAAACACCCTGTACTAATTTTGTACAGCATTAAAGAAATGTAACATGGTAGCCAGCAGAATTGTACTGACCTTGATAGAATGAAGAAATCCATAATGTTGTGCATATACTGTTTTGTATTTGCACCCACTTTATTAGGATTTATTCCAACAATTTTGATTTATTCCTCATCAGAAATTGATCGACTTACCTGAACAACTTGCGGGGTATTCGTGCCCTGTCCATCAACACCAGAAAGTGTTTGACGTGATGTCATGGCATACCTAGACCATTTTTTTAATTTCTATACCGGCCTATAGCACATTGTCCGAAAAAAATCACTGGAAAATCCGAACAAATCACACCGAAAAATCCCCACCAGGATCTTTGCCGCCCCCGACACAGCTGCACGCTTCACCACCGAAATTGACCTATATTTTTAATTAGGGTGGAAGGACGCGTATCTCGGCACCCGTGTGGGTGGGTTATTGGGTCTATTCCGATACACCGGTCGAGGAAAACTCTGTCCTCGATGGTAATGCTGCTGCTGGGGCTCTTATCGCAACGACGAAAATCACGGACAGACACGCAACGGAATCGAAACTAAAAAATCACACCAAAACAGATAACACCGCGTACACACCTACACTCGACTAAGCGATTACTGGCCTATTTCACCTAGGTTTAGGCTTTAATTTTGTACTTTTATCGGTAAATTTGTTAACATCCCGCATAGAGAAATGTCAATCAGTTCGCCACCTGCACCTTCGCGCCACATCGGCCGTTCTCGGAACGATGCCGCGTCGTTGAATCGCCGATGACGTCACGGAGGCGTCTATTTATCGATTTTCCCGATTGGGGCATGCCGGCCCGGTTTTCCCGTGTATATGGAAAAGGGATGAAGATACGCCTACCTAACACTTCCGATAGAGAAAGAAGCCCTGCCGAATCATAGGCGGCGGAACAACCTAAATGACGTAAACGATTAAATCGAGTTTGCCGGCATTGCGTGAAGTTAGCTCCTGTCAAAATCAACAAATTGTCATATGTCACAAAAAAGTTTCTCCGTTTAAAACCTACGGAGAGCTTTCGTTGGTGAGAGAGGGATAAAGAGTGAGTTTTGACACATTTGACAGTTTCAATATAATAAAATGAAGTAAATTATTACCGAATAACAAAAAAAATAATATAGAGTAGATGATGTAGAATTTGCCATGTATTGTTTCTAGCGCTCAATGGGTTATTAAGTCGTGCATTATACCATTTTGTGTCGTGCATTATGATGCATTGGGGGTTGGTTGTGCCGCCACTGCCGCCTCCAATGCGACGTGTTTTTTCGGCCTACATCTCCAAGACAAGTCAGTTTATTTTTGCAAAGAATGAGATATTGCTGTGTACAGGCGCCACATGATCTAAGGAAGGGCTGACGGGTCTGGTGGCGGGTGGGACGGGGGGTGGAAAACATTTTTTCGCCGACTCGAGCCGAGTTTTATAATCCATCAGTAATTTAGGGTTGTTTTTCGGGAAAGCCCGGACCGACCGGTTCAAATTTAATTACCATTGGAAGTTTTTTCCTGTTTTATGGCGTGACGAGGAATGTTTCCTAGGAAATTTGGAAATTGGACTAACGCCGAGATAGCGATGTTATTTTCGGGGGAAATTGGAAGCGAGTTTCTTAATAGCTGGTACATTTCCATTAGATAAGCGGAAGATGGAATGGAATTAAAAGATTTTTTTGCCAGCAACTTATTATTTCCAGGACGATTCCAAATAATCCAGGAGTTTATTTTTAATAGATTTTATTGCAAAAACTGATAAATTGAACAGCCTTAATGCGTTTTCACACGATGCAATATATTACAATAATTGCCGAATCGTCTAAAAACCTGCAAAATCTTACATAGGTTTCTACTATCTTTGCAATATTTTATCTTACGATATCTATAGAACATATTGCACATTTTAGTAATATTCAATATCGTTGAATAAAAATTATTGCATCGCATACATGTGAAAACTATGCATTTGAACGCTTGTATTTTAAATGAAATGCTATATTGAAGCAATTTATTGTTGCAATATATTGCACCGTGTGAAAACGCTCCAATTAGCATTTTGTCACGCATTAATTTACCATCATCAGCACCTTCCTCGTCGGTGCATCAGCGTATTCCTCTCCACATCCGTTTCTTGAAGGAAATAATCAGAAACATAACTAATGAAATTTCTCCGTTCATGCCGACCGGCTGCGGAAATGATGAAATATTCAAAATTCGATTTATGCTCAGTCGCGGAGCTCTTATACGACTCGTAATTGAATAAAAATTCGAAAGAAAAAGTCGTAAAGATGGAAGGAAAACCCCATAGTCTTTACTTATCGATCAAAACTGCCGATAAATTTCCTGAAAAACTCTTGGCAACAGGATTATTTTTCGGTACGATCGCATGGGCGTACTGAAAATGTTTCTCGAAATTCAAAAAATCCTCTGAAAATTAAGAAAATTGTAGCCAGATCTTGTTACCTCTAGCGTAAGCTAATTTCTCAATTAGAATTAAAGTATCTTATAATTTTTAGAACTCTCAATAAAAATATTGTTACTGCGTTTCTCTGATTCCTGGAAGAGAATGTAACCCATTCCAATCCTGCGTTTAAAAAGGCCGAGGGAAAACAATTCACAAGAATTATGAGAAGGAGGCGCCCATGGCTCTCGGACCGGATTATTTTTTGCTACATATAAAATATCGACATAAATCAGCGAAAATTTTGTTTTTCCAAATTTTATTACCAATTCAAATCGGGTAACTAGGCAATAATTCATGCAGTTTAGTTGGGAATTCAAAGGGGCCTCCTTCCACGCACATCGATCGCTCAGAGTTATACTTAAAGGGCCCGATGATATTTCAACGCGATGCATGCAGGACTTATTGGAAATTCCACCCGAATCGCCCGAATCGCTCGGATGATGATCACTATTTTCGACTAATTTTCCCGCTCCGAATCCGGCTCACGTAAGACCCGAACAAGATTTCCGACACTCGACCACTTCGACCCGATCCACCCGAACGTAACTAACTAGTCGGATAATTAAGGGAAATTTTGATTTAGGAAATTTATTAGCAATTCAAATCGCAGCGTCCAAGCAACCTGGAAGATAATTCGCCAAGTTCGCTTCACTTGGGCATTCAAGGGGCGTCCCGCGGGGGCCCGACCACAGACCACAGCCGTGCCTCTATCAGCAATAATATCTATATTCTGATAAAAAAATAAGTACCCGGAAATTCTGATTTAAATAACCTACACTTAATATTTTTAACTATTACAAGTTACTGTATGTAGGTAACACTGTTCTTAATTAGCATGCAAAAAATTAGAGAGATTTTTCAATCAGTTTGGTTGTAGCAGGTGATTGAATCAGTTCATGTCAACAGTGCTTTGCGAATTTTGCAAAATGGACAAAAATAATGAACAAAGAGTTTGTCCCATATTTTGGGTTTTGAACGGAATTTCGTGGACCGAATCGCAAATGCTTAAGATGACTCTGTTTTATCGAAAACCCATATTTATGAATGGTACAAAACTTTTAAAAAGACAGTCGGGAGATCACTATAAAGACTTGCCTTGTTCCGGACGGTCTTCGACTACTTTAACCAATGATAACAGCGAGAAAATAGCTGAAATATTTTAAAAAAGTAGCAATTATATACCGAACTTTTTCGAAGATACACGGCAATAAAATTGGAATTGTAAATGAATCTCCATGTCCCTGTTTCAACATTGGTGCGTTGCGACCTTGGAGAATGCAAACGAACCTTTACCGGGTCTTATTGATCCTTCAGTGGCTATTCCCGAATTGCTTCGCAAACGTTAATTTCGTTATCCATCCTGGGGTCATATCCAGGAATCTGGATCGGGTTGGAAGCCGCATTACCGGTAAACGCTCTTTGCAGTGCCTAGAATACGTTCTGGAAGGAAGAATTATTTATAAAAAAATATATTTATAATATTAAAATGTGGATTTATTATCCCATTTATTTACATAAGGGACAGAACACGAAACAGCCTACCAGGAGGTAAACAATCCCATTTTTTTAACACACAACGGCAGAAAAACTAATAACACAAGATCGAGCATTAATCTTAACACGGTCAAATGTCAATAATAGACGGTTGAGCAGGCCCGTATTAGGATTATCGATAATCGATCTTTTAATAAATAAAATCCCTGATCCTATTATCGCGGTCCAAGGGCCAGATAAATGCCCTTCTCGCTTATTTTCCATCCCCTGCGTCCAAGGAAACCCACAAAAGCTCCACAGCGCCGAGGATTAATACTAAGAATTACCTACTTCTCGGCTTCTGGCCCTTATCCAAATTTCAAACTCACATAATGCATTATGTAGGTAGAGCATTCTCTATTTCCTTTATATTTTATTTTTTCCTAAATTTTGGGCCACAATTTTCTCTCACCACCACACCAAAAAACATCAATAATTAATTATACCTAATAATGTAATAATAAAATTAAAATTAGTATCTATCCATCATCAATCAACCGTCTATTCAGTCTTGTAAAATCACCCCAATACACACGTGTCCATCTTTCCCTTCGATCGCGGCACCTCGGAAGAGATTTTCATATTTCGCACGTTCAATAAAAAAAGCTCTTTTCAAAATGGCGTCCATCTCATTTTTATTACGCAGTTTTCCCGTTTTTCCTTCACCTTTACTTCCAGTAAAGGCAATATGTAAGGGACATACATCAGCAATTCCATTACTTACGCGTAGCGACGACGTACGTCGCGGCGTCTCGGCCGCCCTACTCCTTGGCTCGGGCGTCGCGACGACGAGCGCCGCCTCGGCACGGCCGTCTTTGATGGAGCCGCGCGGCCACAACTATAGTGCAACTCTATATTAGGTACTCACTTCTAAAATCGATATGGGTCGTTTTCGGGGGGGCGCGGGGGGCGGTAGTAAGGGCGGAAGAGAAATACGCGTAACGAGAGAGGTGGACCTAGGTTGCCGGTTGCACCATGATTGCTCCATTTTTACTTTTTATTCCAGATAAATGGGGTATTTTTACAATAATTTATATTGAATATTTCTAGTGATTTTATCTACAGGTTGTAAACTAAATGATGCATCGTTTTATAAATTGTGCATAATTAATTTTGATTTTTAATCAAAATAATTAGGTATTCTTTACTATATAGTGTGTTAATTAATTGAGTGCCGATACTTCAGGATGTGAATATTTGGAATATTATAAGAAGAAAAGT